TGGGGCATGCCCCCTAGGGAAGGGCGCAGAGCCATTGCAGGGGGGGGGTATGAAAAGAGAAAAAAACAAAAACAACGCTTGGACACTGCTAGCATAATGGACAGGTTTTTGATGGGGCTCCCACACACACGCAAAGCATGAGATGAAGCATAGCTGAATGTGTTTCCAAACTAGGGCTGTTCGATATAACAATATATATCGGATGAAGATATAAAAACGTCTATTGTTTCATTTTACGCTATCGTTTGTTTCGTGTTGTTGGAAAATAAACTGTTTACGGCAATATTTTTGTGTGACGTGAAAAAAGGCACATACCTTCGACGTTGCGTGAGGAACTCTGTATTCCTCGTCCACACGTAAACGCAAAAAAAATAGTTTTAAAAAATCTCAGTTTTTGGTGATTTGAAATGCCGTTTACATGTGGATGAAGGGTCCAAATGCATAGAAACAGGTGCGTTTTCAAAAATACCCATGTGGGTGTGGCGTAGCGTAAAAGAGTAGTGTATTTTCTTACTACCTGTAATTTATTGCAGATTACTTGTTAATTACTTAATTGTGTACTAAATGTTTGAGGTGTGAAATAAACCGCAATGGAGCAAAATATGGGTGTGTGTGGTTAAAGGATGTGTTTGTGTGGTTAAAGGATGTGTTTGTGTGTGCACGGGTGGGGGGCGAACATTTTTCTTGTCAAACAAAGGGGGGCCTAGCAAAAAAAGTTTGGGAGCCACTGCTGTAGGGTAACCTCCAGTTGGTGTTCCACAAAGTTAAGTTACAGTATTATGTGGCGTGAGCCGTACAGTAGCATCTCCAAATTGAAGGCCAAGTTCCAGCACTTAGGACCTTCACGCAGCCTTCTACAGGTTTGGATGATGTGTCCGACAGCTCGCTAGCCAGACAATCTGGAAGAGACCCCACATGGCCAGTCTCAGTCCCATAGGGCTTCAAGGAGTCCTGTTATGACTGCCTGTCACCATTTGGCCCGTTTGTGTTGGCAACGTGTGCACTGGAACTTTATGTTCAGCGATGAGTCTAGAATCTGCCTATGACAGTTAGACCATAGGGTCAAAGTTCTGAGAAGGCGCATGATGCTGATTGCTTCACTGACAGGGTAACTACTTTTTGTGGAGGCAGTGCAATAGAGTGAGGCAGTGTCTCTCTTGCTGGAAAAACGTGGCTTGTCATCACCGGAAGCAGTCTCATTACAGAGAGATATTGAGATGAGATTCTGCAACCAGTGGCAATCTGGGACAGGAAAGATGACAATGCTCAGCCCACCGAAGAGTGTGGTTTATCAAACTCAAATCTGCTATATCTTGACATGATTGTGTTGCACAGTTCTTAGATGCACATTCATGCTGTTGTTACTCAAGCAATGATATTAAAACCTTAACTCACTGGTATTTGGCAAATTAAGGTTAACCCCTGCAGCAGCATGAACTCATGCTGTGTGGCATCTGCAGCCTCAGTAGCAATCTGACCAGGTTGTGTTCAGTTTTATATAAGCCCTTTCCACTGCAGTGTCAGATTTCTGTGGCTTGCAAGAGAGAATCCATTGTTGGCTTCTTAGGTTGCATCCCATGAAAGCAGTCAGTTGTGAGTCTGACTGCTTTTATGCTTGGCACTACTTTATAGAATTAATATAGCCATTCTGTCAACTTCACCCAATTTGGTAATTCTCCTCTGACCTCTTCCATTAGCACTGGATCTTTTAGATCAGTAGTTTATTTTCTTAAATCAAGATGTTCTGGTCTTTTTGGTGTGGGCATTAATTCAAAATAGCTGCAAAATTTGATCAGCTGTCAGGCCAACATGACTGACTGCAGGTGCATGAGTTGTATTCCTGTGTGCCACACAGTTGTAGAGTTATCTGAAAAAACGCAGTAATGAGCCGAACTATTGCATCACGTAGAACACACATGGCTGACTTACTATGACTGCGTAGACTCACATACACTGTATTATATGTGGTGGCAGGACCAAATGTGTTAATCTGCTGCTAAAAATAGGTCTTCCCTTTGATTGTTGTGGTTTAAAAAAATCAATTTAATAAAGTAAACCTATTGTAAAAAATAAACCCATGTATATCCTCTAAGGCAGGGGTCGGCAACCCTAGGCACGCGTACCACGGCTGGCACGCGAAGGGTTAACTGATGGCACGATCATAGCTGGACTGGCCATCGGGCATACCAGGCATTTGCTCAGTGGGCTGATGGTGATTTTCCGTTTTTAATGGGCCGATGATTTTTTATTTTTATTTTTTGTAACGGTATAAA